CTCCTCCTCCCCTCCTCCTTCCTCCTCCTCCTCCTCCTCCTCCTCCTCTCCTCCTCCCTCCTCCTCCTCCTCTGAGCGTGGCCGCATCCCCACCGCGCAGAGCCTGGGCCCCGGCGGCGAGGCGGCCGCTGGCGAGGCCGCGGCGCCCGTGCGCGCGGCGCCGCCGGCGGCCGCGCCCTGCTTCGGCGCCGCGGGGGCGCCCGAGCCGGGGCCCGCGGCCGCGGGGCTGCCGGGCGGGGCCGCGGAGGCCTTGGCCTTCTGCGGCCGCTGGGGCTGCGAAGCCGCGGGCCTGCGGGGCGCTGCTGGCCCAGAGCCCTCCCCCTGAGGTCCTGGCGCTGCAATTCTTTGTCGCCGCCGGCGTTTTCGCTCAATTTCGTACGAGGAGGAGGAGGAGGCGGAGGAGGAGGAGGAGGAGGAGAGGGAGGAGGAGGAGGAGGAGGAGGAGGAGGAGGAGGCGGAGGAGGAGGAGGAGGGGGAGGAGGGGGAGGAGGAAGAGGAGGAGGAGAAGGAGAACGAGGAGCTCCGTCGGGGAGACGTAGGCCTCGGGCACGGGGAGCCCCCTTGCCTGCAACCCTCGATCCCCCCTTCCCCTCCCCTCGGACCCCTCCCCTGAGATCCTGGCGTTGCAATTCGTTTTCACCACTGGCGTTCTCGCGTCATTTCGGGACCCATGGACCCTCACAGATCGATCCGGCCCGAGAAATGCAGCAGAGAGATGGGGTCTGGGGCTCCAGTCGTGATTTTGCGCGATGTTGCATTTTTTCCCAACCCTCCTGTGTTGGGTTCTCGTTACGTTTTGAATAGGGCAGTGTGGTCTCCACCTTCCTTCTCCCGCCTCCCCTCTTCTCCCCTCCTCCTTCTCTCCTGTTTCCTGTGTTCCCCTCCCCTCTTCTCTCGTGCCGTCGGGCTGCGATCTGCGAAACCGTCGGCGCTTTCGTGGGCTCCTGGGAGGCCCAGCGGAGGTACGTCCCACGCGGACCACCACTATAGCTCGCGCTGCCCTGGGGGGCTGCGATCTGCGAAACTGTCGGCACTTTCGTGGGCTCCTGGGAGGCCCAGCGGAGGTACGTCCCACGCGGACCACCACTATAGCTCACGGTGCCCTGGGGGGCTGCGATCTGCGAAACTGTCGGCACTTTCGTGGGCTCCTGGGAGGCCCAGCGGAGGTACGTCATGCGCAGATCATCACTAACGCCCCTTGTGTGTCTGTTTTGCATGTTTGCCGCTGCTCTTCTTGCTGCGCTCTTCTGAAATCACTGCTGGGTGCTCTTCTTGCGCACTGCGAGTCCTTCAGAATGCCAGTCAGCATTGAGTGGTCCTGAACATACTCGCCACATGTATAGAAAGGGCTGTGTACGTCGCAGGGTAATGTTTGCAACGGCGGATATCAGTGTCGGGCCATGAAACGGTCGCAACGGGAGGCTCTTCGCTATCTTCGGCCTCTGGGGGGGCCCTTGCTGGCCGGATGAACAAAAACCGGTCCAGGGGAATGGGTCGAGGCCTCTGAGGGTCGGCGTGAGGACAAAATCATGACGTCGGGGGTCTGGGTACCCAGGCACAGGTCTCCAACAGGATATCCGATCTGAGGGGTCGGCCTTTCCAGATCCTGGGCAGCGCGTCCTGCCCCAGACATCCGACCCAAACCCACACAAAATCTAGGATCTAGAATGGCAGACCCCTCGGATCGGAGATCTTGTCGGGGCTCGACGGGCTCGCGCCGCGGAAGAACCATAGCGGGCGGTGCTCGCCAGTGCTCGGCCCCGCGGGGCCCTCACCGGGCCCTGGGGCCGTCAATCACAACTCGGAACGAGACGCCGGTCCCGGGGAGTGCCCTGACTCCGGATCCGCCCTACTTTGGGCACTTTCGCAAGTTGGGCCTGGAATTTCCGCCACACTTTTCAAGCCTTGACGATGCCAATTTCCGCCCTACTAGACTTGACTAGAAACGTCAAAAAGTAAGGCGAAACTATCAGCCTTGCTTCTTGGGGGCGGAAATTGCCGCCCTACTTTTTCGGCTTCTTAGATGTGGACTTCCGACGCAATTTTAAGTTGGAAGAAATGCCAAAGCAGGGCGGATCCGGAGTCAGGGTGGGCCGAGACCTCTGGGTGCCGACGCCGTGAAAGAATTATGCCCCGCCTGGGGTCGGGGCACATCGGGGGGCGACCTCAGGCATGCGACGTCCAGACTTGTGTCCGCACGGGGCCCCTGGACCCCTGGAGGTCCCGACCCCTTCCCAGGGACCGGCTCTTCAGCCCGAATCGTTTCGTTGACGCTCCCGAGGCCCAGCGAGGGCGCCCAGGGGCCGAGAACGGCCAAAAACCTCCCGTCCTGATTTGTGTATGACGCGATCACGTCTGGGAGGAAGCGTGCACCTCGCGTGCCCAACTCCTCCCCCCTCCTCCTCCTCCCTCCTCCTTCCTCTCCTCCTCCTCCCTCGCCTCCCTCTCCCCTCCCCTCCTCCTCCCCCCCCCTCTCCTCCCCCTCCCCCTCCTCCTCCTCCTCCCCCTCCCCCTCCTCCTCCTCCTCCTCCTCCCCCTCCTCCTCCTCCTCCTCCTGCTCCTCTTCTTCTTCTTCTTCTTCTTCTTCTTCTTCTTCTTCTTCTTCTTCTTCTTATTCGTCTTATTCTTCTTCTTCGTCTTCTTTTTCTTTTTTTTCTTCCTCCTCCTCCTCCTCCTCCTCCTCTTCCTCCTCCTGTTGGGCCCAAGAGGGCCCCTTGGGGCCCTCCTTCGACCTCTGCACCTTCCGCACCTTCCGCGCAGCAGTCGCTGCGTTGCCGCGGAAGCGCCGCCGCGGCGGCCATTGTCGAGGCCGCAGCGGCGGCACCTTCCGCGCGGAAGGTGCGGGTCAAGGGCTTCAGGTGCACGCAGTGTGCACCAGCTGCCCCCCCCCACCCCTCGGGTAATGAACAAATCATGACGGGAGGTTTTTCGCTATGTTTGGCCTCCGGGGGCCCCTGCCGGGCCTCGGGAGCGTCAAAAAACGACTCAGGTTATGTTGCTCTGATCGTACTTAAGAACCACACATCCCAAAAATAATTTCGATCACCCAGAGAAGTGCCGAACGATTGTCGAAACAGTGTCAGCCGAGTGTCTCCCAGGGACCGACACGTGAAAACACTTGAGTTTCGGTACTTTTTTCTGCTGCTCGGAATCATTTCTGGTGATCAAGACTGAAGTAGGTTGGAACATCATCATACGCAGTATGAGAAACCGATCCAGGGGAACGGGTCGAGACCTTCGGGGGTGAAACAATCATGACGTCGGGGGTCTGGGTTTGTCCCCCCGCCCTTTCCCCGACCTCCGATGTCACGATTTGTTCATGACGTCGGGGCCAGTTTTCCCCCTCCCGAAGTCTCGCCTTTGGTCGGGCACGTCCCCTACAGGCCGATTTTGGACGAAACCTAAACATAGTAAGAAACAAACAAATGCGACGTACCCAACCCTTTGTATACATGTGGCGGGTATACTCAGGACCACTCTGTGCTGACAGGCATTCTGAAGGATTTGTAGTGCGCAAGACGAGCACCCAGCAATGATTCCAGAAGAGCGCAGCAAGAAACAGCGGCAAACATGCAAAACAGGCACATAAAAGGGGCGTTCGTGGTGATCTGCGCATGACGTGCCTCCGCTGGGCTCCCGGGAGCCTACGAAAGTGCCGACTGTTTCGTAGATCGCAGCCTCCCAGGGCACCGCGAGCTATAGTGGTGATCTGCGTGGGACGTACCTCCGCTGGGCCCCCCAGGAACCCACGAAAGTGCCGACAGTTTCGCAGATCGCAGCCCGACGGCACGAGAGAAGAGGAGAGGGGAACGCAGGAAACAGGAGAGGAGGAGGGGAGGAGAGGGGAGGCGGGAGAAGGAGGGTGAATACCACACTGCTCTATTCAAAACGAGAACCCAACACAGTAGGGTTGGAAATAATCCAAAATGATTACAAAAAGTCGAAAATCGCCCCCCGAGAATTTATTTTACTATTTTTGAACATTCCCCATGCAGAGGGACAGGCCCGACGTAAGTCTCGCTCCATTCTCCCCAGGACCGGCTTTTCATCCCGAGCCGTTGTTTGACGGTCCTGTGGCCCTGCGAGGGCCGCCAGAGGCCGGCAACTATCAAAAGCCGCCCGTCGTTTTTTTTTGTCATGGCCTGTTTTTTGGAACATGCTTCTACCACGGGCGCCAAAACGTGGCTGCCGCCAGGAAGAAACAGACGGCCGGCAGCAACCGAACCTTGGTCCAGCGCGACGCGTGCTGGGCCCCGCCCCAGTCGTTCGCATGTGCCCGAATGGGAGGAGGAGGAGGAGGAGGAGGAGGAGGAGGAGGAGGAGGAGGAGGAGGAGGAGGAGGAGGACGAGGAGGAGGAGGAGGAGGAGGAGGAGGAGGAAGAGGAGGAGCGAACGACGCGCTGAAGGGGGCGCGTGTCCGCGGGTTAATGGCGAAGCGGCCCTGCGCCGCCTACGAGGCACAGTGGCGACCTCAGGACGCGTCTGGTGGCAACGATCACCTCCTTGTGGTACTTGAGCTCGTCGATGATGGCGGGCAGGCTCGTCTCGGAGCGCACCCGCAGGATGTTGTATGTGCGGAAGGCGACCGCAATGCGTGTGATGGTATGCTTTGGGTGGTCGTCGATGTTGTTGCTCTTGTTGAGGCCGAGCCGCGTGAGGACATCACCAGCAGGTTGTCCCCGAGGTTGAGCCAATAACGCCCACATTCGCGGGCACGAGATGTAGTGGCTGATGTCGTCCGTGTACTTGGTCTGCGAGTCTTTGTCGCAGCCGAATAGGCAGTTCTTCTTGTGTGGGTTGACGTGCATGCGGTGTGAGGTCGTCCATGCGCCTGACAAGAGGAGGAGGGGGAGGAGGAGGAGGAGGAGGAGGAGGAGGAGGAGGAGGAGGAGGAGGAGGTCGAGGATAGGTCTGCGATGGGCTCCAGGGGCGCTCGAGCCCGAGCCCCTCACCCCACCCTTCCATATGCGCCACGCCCGAGGCCTGGAGGAGGCGCTGGCCTCCGAGCGCTCCGCCGCGGCCGAGGGCTCCTTGGCCGCGTCCGCGGGGGCGCCGCTCCACCGCGGCTCCGCGCCGCTGCCCGCGGCCGCCGCGGGGGCCGCGGCGGCCTTCGCCTCTCTGGCGCCCGCCTTGGCCGCCCGCGGCGCCGCGGCCCCCTTCGGCGCGGCGGCCTTGGGCGCGCCGCCGGGCCCCGCCGCGGGCGCCGCGGCGCCGGCGGCCCCGGCGTCGCCGCCCGCGGGGCCCCCGGGCCGCGCCTCGCCGGCGGCCGCCGCCGCGGCGCCCGCGGCCCGGAAGCCGGCGGGGCCCGGGCCGGCGCCGCCGCCCGCGGCGGGCGCCCTCGCGGCGCCGGCGCTGCTGCTCCGGGCGCGGCTGCCGCTGCTGCCGCCGTTGCTGGCGCCCGCCACGTGCTGAGGCTCCGCGGGCCAGTCGCGGGCCCGCTCCTCCGGGCGCTGCGACTGGGCCGGGGTGCACGGGGAGGCGGCCTCTCCGGCGGGCAGCCCACGGCTGCCGACCGCGGGCGCCTCTGGCGCCCTGTCGCCCTCCGCCTTGCCGCCCTTCGACTTCCGCTTCGCCCTCGAGCGGTGGTTCTCCTCGAAGCCCTTGCCCTCCAGGCCCGAGTCCACGGAGGGGGGCTCCCTCAGGGCGCCGCTGGCCTCTGTCTGCCTGGGGAGAGGCGGCGCTGCGGGACCGGCCCCAGGGAAGCTGCAGGCAGGGTGGGGGCACACGCGGGCGAGAGAATCCATCGGGAGTCCCTAAGAGCTGGCGGGCCTGGAGGCTGCAGTGGACGCCGCGGCAATGCCAGACGACACGTTCTTGTCCAACCACAGGTGGTTCTTTCATTCCGGTCGGCGCGATTTTCTGGCGCCAGGGCTAATTTTAGGTAGGGCCTGTCCCCCCACAGGCGGGATTTTGGCGAAAAATGCAACATAGTCAAACATATACAAAAATAAAAAAAATCGTTCCCATACTAGTTCTTTACTATTTTTGAATTCTCCTCCTGTAGAGGGACACGCCCGACTTAAGGCTACTCATGAAAAGTTCCTTCTGGGACGAGCGCTGCCCCCTGGGAGACGGTCGGGACCTCAGGCCGCGGGCGGAAAAGATGATGTCGGCGGGTGCCGAAGATAAGGGCGAGTAGACTGTGGCGACTGGGGAGGACTGGGGAGAACAGATTTCGGGGTGCGCAAACATGGATTGTCGGAGATTAATGCACCTCCTACCCTGACACGTCGATTAAGGAATTGGCCGTTTTCGGTTCGCGAGAGGGCGTCGCGGCCGTCACTTTTGCGGGTCCAGGTCCGTCGGTTTCGGTCCCAGGCCGTTTTCACTAAGGGGAGGTTTACTAAAAGGAGGTTTGTCCACCGCCGAGATTAGCGATCCATGGATTTGGCGCGCGGTCGCCAAATCCATGCATGGATCGGGGGAGGTGCCCCTCCCCAAAATGCGGCCGGTGCCACCTCGTTCGGCGGCGGAAGTCTGCGAGTTCCCATGGAAACCGGACCCATCGCGAATCCACGCCCCCTTGATCCATGTTTCCGATCGCCTGAAGATTGCTCCCCCCCCTGTAGAGGAAAGAGAACTATGCACATACACCGACTCTGGCCAGGCCCATCCTGAGCCCAGGATCGGTGCAGACGCCCGCTACCGTGGCCAGGAAGGCATCTGCACCGCTCCTGGGACGAGGACGGGCCTTGCCAGGATCGGTGCGTGCGTGTAGTTCTCTTCGCCCGGCCCCTGGATGAGTCGGGAGCGGCCAAGAGGGGGGTGTCCAAGAGGGAGGGGGCAAGGGGAGGGCAAATCATGACCGGCGGCATGTGCGCGGCCCAGCGGGGGGGCCAGGGGCGTAATGAAATAAGAAGAGGCGGCATGAAATCTGGGGAAACATCATGGTCCCCGCCATGATGTCCCCCCCTCCAGTCATCACCCCCCTCTTCTCCGCCCCCGAATGAGGGACCTCGTCAGGGGGGGACCCGCTCCCATAAGAGGGGAAACACCGAGCTGGACTCCGCGACCCCAGACCCCCGACGTCGTGAATTTTTCATGACGCGACCCCCAGAAGTCTGGACCCTTTCCCCGGGACCGGTTCTTCGTCCTGAGTCGTTTTTTGACGGCCTCGAGGCCCGGTAAGGGCCCCCAAAGGCTGAAAATGAGGAAAAACCTCCCGTCATGATTTTTTCACAACGCGAGGGGGTCTGGGACACTTGCGCCGCCGCCGGGTCGGCGACCTGCCCCCCACGGATTGCGCAGCCGCACCTCCGCGGGGGCGGGCTGGGCCAGCGCGCCCCCCTCGGCGACGGCTGGGCGAGCGAGGGTCGACGCACCCCCCCGGAGCCTGCCCCCCCCCCCCCCCCTAAGTGGGCCCTGGAAGCGACAGGGCCGCTTTTCTACTGGTTCCGCTGTGCCGTTCTTTTTCCTCCTCCTCCTCCTCCTCCTCCTCCTCCTCCTCCTCCTCCTCCTCCTCCTCCTCACGGGTTCCCGCTCCGGTTCCAATCCTGGAGCTGTTTTTGTTGCCGTTTCCGGTCGCCGTTGCTTTGCCGTCTCCATTTTCAGGGGGCACGTTTTCGGAAACGGTGAAAAACCGGCCCTGCCGTTTTTCCGGGGCCCACTAAGCCCCCGCGCCCCTGAACGTTGCCCCCGGGGCTGTCGGGTCAGACCTCCGCTCCCTGGCGGCCGCTCAGGACGATCCGGGCACGCCCGGAGCGCTCTCGGCGAGGCGCAACTGCTGCAGAGCGCCCCGAGGCTGGGAAGCCACTGGGGACCGACGAAAAGGCCCGAGGACCCCTACCCTTGAACCTCGAACGCTGCCCCCTCAGAGCCTATCTCCTTCTCTTTGACTCCGGACCCACCCGCCGTACTTTGGACGATTTCGCAAGCAGGCCAGACATTTCCGCCCTACTTGTCAAGCCCCGTTGATGTCGATGTCCGCCCTACTCTGCCGTCGCTGTTTCCGCCCTACCTTTGCTCAAATTCCCGCCCTACTCTTCTGAGGCTGTCATTTCCGCCTTCGTTTTTCGCACCTTTGGGCATGCATCTCCGAGACCATGGCAAGTCGGGAAATCAACTAGAGCATGGCGGATCCGAAGTCAGGGCTGACCCTCCTCCTCCTCCTCCTCCTCCTCCTCCTCCTCCTCCCCGCTCCTCCTCATCCTCCTCCTCCTCCTCCTCCTCCTCCTCCCCTCCTTCCTCCTCCTCCTCCCGCTCCTCCTCCTCCTCCTCCTCCTCCTCCTCCTCCTCCTCCTCCTCCTCCTCCTCGCTCCTCCTCCTCGCTCCTCCTTCGGCGTCCCGGGGTGCCTCTTGCCCTCGGCGGCCAGGGCATCCCGCCTCCGCGCGGGGGAGCCCGGCGGGTGCCGCGCGGCCGGCTCCTGCTCGTCGTCGCTGCCGCCCTCGGGGCTCCCCTTGCCGTCGCCCTTCTGCTCGTCCCTCGCCGGGTCCGCCTCGTCCTCCTCCTCGTCCTCCTCCTCCTCGGTCTTCGCCTGCGAGCGCTTCTCCTTCTCCTTCGGGGGGGGGGGAGGAGGAGGCATCGGGGGGGGGGGCCCGAGGAGGAGGAGGGGGACGAGGAGGAGGAGGAGGAGGAGGAGGAGGAGGAGGAGGAGGAGGAGGAGGAGGACGGGAGGACGACGAGGAGGAGGACGAGGAGGAGGGGGACGAGGAGGAGGAGGAGGACGGGGAAGAGGACGAGCGAGCGTCCTTCTCCTTCAACGGGGGGGGGAAGGGAAACAAACAGGGCATCGGCATAGACTTCCAGAGGCCCGCTCGCGCGGACTTCCGCGATCGGGCTTGGCGCCATGGGCCCTCCCTGGCGCGCAAGAGCGCGCCAGGGGGGAGGGGGGGCCGCGCCGACCCCAGGAAACCGCGGTGACCTCCGCAAAGGTCCAGCAGGGGCTCGACCACAAGAAGCCCTCCACAGGAAGCCCAACCCCTGGAGCCCCATGGACGTCCATTGCTTTTCTTCTGCGCGGGAGCGGCACGCCCTCCGTGCTTGGCAAGACCATCGACACCGGAGAAGCCCGCGGCACCCTGGAGGCAGGCAGGGCGTCTCTCGGCGTGGGCCTCCGCTGCATGCTCTCGCCGTCTGCCCTCTGGGCAGCCAAGGGACGCTCCCGTCCCCGCCGAGACGGCCTCGGCCCCGCGGGCCGACCCCCGCCCCCCGGCCCGGAGGGCTGCCTCATGCCCTTTCCCGGAGGGGGCGGGGATGGTCCGGACTATGATGGTGCTGATGATGATGATGATGATGATGGTGATGATGATGATGATGATGATGATGATGGTGATGATGATGGTGATGATGGTGATGATGGTGCTGATGGTGCTGATGATGATGGTGCTGATGATGCTGCTGATATTGATGATGAGGATGATGCTGATGATGATGATGATGATGATGATGATGATGCTGATTCTGATGATGGTGATGATGATGGTGATTATGATGATGGTGATGATGATGATGATGGTGCTGATGATGATGCTGATGATGATGGTGCTGATGATGATGATGGTGATGGTGATGATGATGATGATGGTGATGATGATGATGGTGATGATGGTGATGATGGTGCTGATGGTGCTGATGATGATGATGCTGATGATGCTGCTGATATTGATGATGATGATGATGATGATGATGCTGATTATGATGATGGTGATGATGATGGTGATTATGATGATGGTGATGATGATGATGATGATTGGTGCTGATGATGATGCTGATGGTGATGGTGATGATGCGTCAGATGATGATGCTGATGGATGATGGGTGATGGTGATGATGAGGATGATGATGATGATGATGATGATGATGATGATGATGATGATGATGATGATGATGATGATGATGATGATGATGATGATGATGATGAGGATGATGATGATGATGATGATGATGATGATGATGATGATGATGATGATGATGATGATGATGATGATGATGATGATGATGATGATGATGATGATGATGATGATGATGATGATGATGATGATGATGATGATGATGATGATGCTGCTGCTGCTGATGAAGATGATGATGATGATGATGATGATGATGATGATGATGATGAGAGGAGGGGAGGATGGAGGATGGAGGAGGAGGAGGAGGAAGAGGAGGAGACGCGGGGACCGTCTCTTCAAAACGAGGACCCAACAACACAGGTTGGTTGGGAAGAAGTGCACAGTTTTCCTTGCATCCTAGACAAAAAATAGAAACATCTCAGATACAGCGTTTCCTTGCACCAAGGGCGCCGAACACTGTGTATTCTTGGTTTTCTTGTTTTGCAACATGGAGGAGGAAAGGAAAGGAGGAGAGTAAGGGGAAAAGAGGCAGGGGGAAGCTTTCCAAACCAAACAAAACAAACTAGCCAAACATTCACAGTGTTTCCTTGCATCCTAGACACAAGCACCAGAACAACAACACATACACAGCGTTATCTTGCTCCGAGGGCGCCAATCACTGTGTATTCTTGGTTTTGCTTTGCTACAGAGAGGAGGAAACGGAAAGGAAAAGAGGAACAGGACGATGGGCCAGGAGGAGGAGGAATTGTGTTTGGAGAAGGAGGAAAGGGAAAGGAGAAAGAGAAGGAACGGAGAAGGAGGAAGAGAAGGAACGGAGAAGCAGAGAGAGGTATGATTTTGGAGGGGGGCGACCATATATACACATTTATATATATATATATGTATGTATGTATGTATGTATGTATGTATGTATGTATGTATGTTTGTATGTATGTATGTATGTATGTATGTATGTATGTATATATATATATGCACATGTGTGTATATATGTCTATATATATACATATGTAAATTTATGCATGTGTATGTGTGTGTGTACCCTTCGGGACCCCCATGGCGCTCCTCGTCGCCACGGGTGGATCCGTCTCGAAGCTCGGGCCAGGCACCACTGGACAGGGTCGGTCTTCCCGGGCCGGATGAACGGGAGGGACAGGGCGTGGGTACGAGATTTGCTGTATGCAGCTTGTTTCCGCCCCGCCGCCAGGCCCATTCCTCGCTACGTGGGCGCCCCCTGGGCGCCAGGAAACGCCAGGAAAACCAGCTACGCAAACTTATTCTCTACCCTACCCTTTGCCATCCTGCCCTCTCGTGGACGCCCCCCTCGTGGGGACGCCCCCGACCTCCTCCCCCTCCTGCCTTGCCGCCGCGTCGCGCCGCGCCGCGCCGCCGCAGGAAGAAGACCTACAGGGCCGCGCCGCCGCGCCGCGCCGCCCCCCCGCTGGGCTCTCGGCGACTGCGCAAAAAAAGGGTGTGGTTATGCGCCAGGGTGTGGGCGGCGACCTGCGCCGTTGGGGGGCCCCGAGGGGGCTCTGGGACCGCTCGGAGCCGTCCTGTGGCCAGCGTCGGGCCTCTCGGAGGCAGGTCGGCGTCTGTCTGTCTTGAGCCGCTTGTCGGCTCTCGCGAGTCACCTCCGAGGCCATCTTGGAACGTCGGGCGCCCTCTTGTCGGGCCGAACGAAAGGGGGGGATAGGGAAAGGGGGGGTTACGAAATCTGCTGCATGCAGCTGGTTTCGGCCCCGCCGCCAGGCCCATTCTTCGATACATGGACGCCTCGCGGCGCCGGGAGGCGCCGGGAAAATCAGCTACGCGAGCTGACTTTCCCCCCCCCCCCCCCCTTTGCTATCCCCCCCTTTCGCCCGGCCCGATCTTGGAGCCGTCCTCGGCCACTCGGGGCGCTCCGGGGAGCCATCCTTTGGCAGCGGGGCCGGTGGGCGATCTGCGCCGCGGGGGCCGCGGGGGGGCACCGCGCTGCCCTCGTCGGGCCTCCTCGGGGCACGGCGGGGGGCTCCGTCGATGTCCTCGTCCACCCCCCGGGGTTCAGGAGGGAAGTAGCACACAGACACAGGAGTCCCCGAGATGGGCACGGAAAGAATGGGTACGATGCCCAACAGCAGTTCCTGTTCATTTTGAACAGGACTCGCTGTCCGCGCCGCCGCGGTCTGTGTTCATTTGAGACAGAAGGCCGCCTGCCCAACAGCGGCCGCTGTTGGTTCGGGACAACATTTGTTGTTGGGCATGTTGCCCATTCTTTCGGTACCCATTTCGGGTGTCCAAATCCAGGAGAACATGGGAAAATGTAGGGGGTGGGGGGGAAGACGAAAATCCAGGAGCTGCGCGAGAACATTGGAAGTCCAGGGATTTGTGTCTCTTTGTTTGTGAGTCCGCCCCTTCAAGGGTGCGGGTTGCACGCCGCACCCTCTGCAGACCGCACCTTGCGGAGTCGCCGGCAGGACCCGCCTGTCGCGTCGCGGCCAAACATCGCGACGCGACGAAACATTGGCCCCTACTAGGTTCTAAGCCTAGGCTCAGGGTTTTCGGGAGTTTTCGAGGTTCAAGGCTCGAGTTTCCGGCCGTTTTCGAAGGATCTCGGCCCGTTTCCAGCCTCGGGGTGCACCCCAGCAGCTGCGCCTCGCCGAGAGCGTTCTGGGGGTGCCCAGATCGTCCCGAACGGCTGCCAGAGACTCGAGTTATGGGCGGGAAATCGCGGGGATCAGCGCGGGGCTTGCTAAGAGGATAGGGGGGTTATCAGCAGATGCCACGGCGGATCATACCTAGCGTAATCTAGCTCATAAGTGGGGTGCAAATGCCCGAAGTAGCTGAGGGATGTTAGCGGTCCGAGCTAAGTGTGTCCCGCCCAGTTAGCGGAGTTATTTGACCCCCCTAAGCCACTTGGCGCATTTGTAACACACACACACATATATATATATATATATATACGTATATCCATTCAAATAGATCCGAAAGATGCTTTGTGGGTTTGCGTGGCCCCCGGTCCCCGGAGCCTTCAGAGACCCCCCAAAACGGCTCCAGAGGGCCCCCAGAAGGGCCCCAAACAGCACCGGAGCTCCCCAGAAGAGCCCCGAGACGGCCCATGGAGGCCCCGAGACGACCCAAGACGGCTTTCAGGCGGTCCAAGATGTTCTCCAGACGGCCCCATGAGTCCAAAAAGACGCCCCCAGACGGCTCCAGGCGGCGCCAAGCATTTCGAAGACGAGCAGGCGCCGTAAGCGAAAAAACTCTTCGGCGCTCCGAGCGGGTTTCTCGGATACGCGCTGGGGCCCCCCTCTCGGCGGCGCCTCCCGGCCGCCGCCCCTGGCGCGCTCCGCGCGCCAGGAATAGGGGGGTCCAGCGCAGATCCAAGAAATCTGCGCAGAGCGCCAACATTTTCTTTTTTTTTTGTTGTTGTTGTTGTTGTTGTTGTTGTTGTTGTTGTTGTTGTTGTGGTTGTGGTTGTGGTTGTGGTTGTGGTTGTTGTTGTTGTTGTTGTTGTTGTTGTTGTTGTTGTTGTTGTTGTTGTTGTTGTTGTTGTTGTTGTTTCTTTTCTTTCTCTTCTTCTTCTACCCTCAGCGGGGCACGACAACGCCATGATTAACTTCTGCATTGCTTCCCATCTTGCTTATATGACCCTCGATTTTCAGGGTGGGAGCGGCGAGGCCCAATAGAAAGGTCTGTTCTGAAACGGCGTCTCGTGGGGACCGCTTGATCT